GTGAGCTCTTTCTAAGTGGCAATGAAACAAAGAAATGGATCAATTCGCTGGGACATTTTCAATGAAGCATCAAATAAATACAAGTATCATTAGAAAGAGGCCTTTACAGAAAAATATTCTTGGTTCTAATTATAACTTATCAACGATTTCAACAACCGTTTAAGCCAGCTAAGAATTAGTGTCCCACTGACTCTTGAGTCGGCTAGCTTTCATTAAACTAGTTAATATGACTATTGTGTTCCGTTTGGGAAATAACCGTAATTAAGATGATGCACTCGGTAGGTTTAGTTCTTGCTTCAATTGAAATTTTGAAAACGAACTAATTTAAGGATTTAATGGTTGGGAGTAAAACAACCAAGGTAATTTGGTGTATTGTATGAACACCTAACAAATCTGACCCTACGCGGTATGCAGTGAGTCAAAACAGGTCTTCAGCTAAAACATTTACTCAGCCGGGTAACCCCTATGAGTATAAAGTTTGAAAGAGTTTCATAAAGTTGTCAGCATGAAAGAAAACGAAACGCCGCTCCTTTGTCGAGTAGCCCGCTAACGTCATGAGACTGAGCATAACGTAACGCAATAAGAGAGACATTTTTCCCTGCAGAAATCGTTATGAACACTTTCGTAGAAGACCGCCCGTCAAAGCCTAACAAACTTTTTAAGTCTCCCTCCGAAACACGCTCAGAAGCTTTACTTGAAATGTGTACATGTATTTTGGCCAAAATAATACATTATTTGAGATTGGTACCTACTCGATAAAATCTCTTAAAAAAATGTCAGTTTCTTACCCATGAAATCGTTGTTTTATGTAAACCAGTCAACCTTCTCTGGTCTGTAGTTTTTGGAACTCGATGGGGATTTGCTCACAGACGGGCAAATATGCCTTATCACTCCTGCCCATTGGCTCAAATCGTAAAAGCAACAATACACTCCGACCCCTTGACTCAAATCGTTAATGCAACAATGCAGAGATTACTGCCAAGTGCGAAATCAAAACCGCACCATCTTCGATCTTATATTTCAAGAGAGATACGAAGACTGAAAACATCAACCAAGCTGGCTACATTTTAAACAGTGTAGTTATTACGCAGAAGATTCGATAGTGGGCCGTCATTTTGGCTTTGGTGTGCGAAATATATGGAGAAACTTTTCATTGTTCAAAATATACGAAGACTATTGGAAACGTATTTAGTAATGACACTTCGAATTTGGAAAGGCGTTTTAATGCCCATGTTGAAATGATCAGGGAACAACATGAACTACACTTTTGCATTTTGATTATGCACATTATATCAACCATGTGGTTACATCTGCTTGAAAAACTGAATGTATTCACGAGTTCTATTGTACGTGGTCCCATTTTCACATTGCTTCTGTATTCTGTCAAAATTTATACGTTTTCTTTCTAGAAGAAACGTTTTAGTTTCCGGTGAATAAAGATGTGTTTCAAGTTTATTACAAAGCATGCAGCTTCATATTTAACGTTACCGATCTGGCTTTTCAATGGAGTCTCAGCTGTTTAAAATTTCACTGTTCCTTCAAAATTCTTTTTTTTTTTGTCAATCACTTCCTTGTAAATTGACGCTTTGCGTTGCAATAATTATAATCGACCGAATACCTCTTCAATGAGTTTCTTCACGAATTAATAACTTTGATATTGCACGATCAAAAGACAAAATGACACAACAAATGTGATATGGCCGGACACGCGATGCAACCAGTCATAGGTGAAGTAAAGGTCGCGTTTACTTTCATTTCGTCTATGGCAGACTATTTTACCCATCGTTTGCATCAAAGTTTTCGGTCTAAAGTTAAGTTTGGTTGATTTATAGAGATTTGCATTGCTTTACGGCTATATTTACTTTATTGTCACCTGCGCCAACAATGATTTTAGAAATGATATACATGTTTTACTCGTGTACATCAATATGTATTATCGTGTTGAATGGTAGCTAATCTGATCTAAAAGAAAATAACATAGATATGACAAGGAATGCTAACCTGGAACATAAGTAGTCTCTTTCTTTAGGTCAAAGACATGTAGGAAGAGCACATTTCTATTCTATTATCAAAAGGAAATTTAAGAGATGCCGTTAAAACGTTCAGGAATGTTGTGCTTTCTAGACACGTCACATCATTGATATTCGGTTCGATTATTGACTTGACATGTGCAAATGTAATATGGGAAACTTAGTTGTCTCTCGGAGATGAACACGTATCACACATAGTACACTTGACATCGTCACTAGTCATTATTCATTCATAGTTATTACCATGATCATCTCCATCCTTAGAGTCATCTGAAGCCAACTAAAGACTCTGGCTCGAAAATGCTCATCAAAAAACTAATAACATATCTGGCGCTTGTTATAGATTTACTTGTTCCGTCTCTGTTGTGCGAGGGCGCTCTAAATTCAAAGAATAATATAACTGTGATTGAGCCTGTGAAAGGAGCCATTTGGATGTCGGGGCAACACTCTTACCCCATCATATGGACTCAGTCCAAATTTTGCTTCAAATGGAATATAGAACTGTTGGATCACGAAGAGAGAAAAATCGCACAAATATCCACGGGTTTAAGCGAGTTTAAAGAAGGAAGCATGCGTCATGCCTGGCTTGTACCACCAACAATCCAAAATGGGGATTACTTGATCAAAATCTGCGAGAACAGCGCTCCTGAAACCTGTGGAAGGAGCAGTTCATTTTTTATCAGGACCACTAAAGGTGGGAAACGTGGATTTGTGACAGAGTATTTCAGCAGTCGTTACCGTGTATATACAGCTGTAGTGTATTTTGTAATTGTTGTATTTTTGGCAAATAATTTTTCAATGATAAAATATTTTACCAAAAGGTTGATTTTTAAAGAAATTTTTTATCGACTTTTTGAACTGATTTTTCCTGAAGGATACACCAAAAAATGCATTTTTATTGGGAGGAGGAGATCAGGTGGCTGTAGGATAATAACATAACAGGAAACATATATCACGGTTAATTCGCACGATTTTAATCACAGGGAAACCGAACTAAAACGTAAAATCACGGCGTTGTGATCTCATTTAAGGGTTTCAACTGAAAGGGAAATGGATGGCTTTTACGGCTAACAGTTAAATTTTTCCCAATTTACGGCTTACGATTACTACTTTCCATCGTGATCACCAAAGAAAGTTTTGACGGATGATTTTTTTACGACTAACAGTTAAAATTTGTGATTTGCTGCGCCTAACGGTTTAATTTTTTGGCCGTTTTACGGCTAATGGTTAACCTCATTGAAACACTCTCGTTTGCTGTTTACTTTTTTTTTAGCTGATATCATGATTATTTTGATTATTTTGTAGAAAACGTTATTTTTATGATAGGTAAACCTCGACCTTTTCAGACCAACTTAACCAAAATGATTCATATGTTCAATTCATAATTTTGAAGCTCAGCATACAACCCACAATTTTCAACTTACACTTAAGCCAGCCAACAATATATCATACGCTGCAGTATTTTTGTCTTGTAACTTTTCTGTCGACTATGTCGTAAAGAGAAACGAAAAAATCACTGAAGTAAAATTTTCCTGCGGACAGTCATTTCTCCTCTAGTGCCGAACTTAAACTGAACTGAGCTTACAGTTAAAGGTATCTTTTTCCCTTATAATAGAAATTGGAACTGCTGATTTTGACGCATTTTCTCCAATACAAACCCCTCAGATGAAAGAAACACTTTCCTTTTCTGGTAACGCGACGAAAAAAGGGAAGTTCACTGGCAAACGCAGATTACCGCATGAACTGCGCCGACAGAAGCGCATGGAGCGGGAACGGCTGTACTTCAAACGCATGTCCGAGCGCATCAGACATGACACTGGTAATATACGATGCACAATCGAACGTGTTCATCGACCATCCAAAGAGACATTTGTGAAGCGGTTTATGAAGCCTCGAAAGCCTGCCATTTTAACAGGAGTGATGGATGACTGGGAAGCTATGAAATCCTGGACTTTCGATACACTCGGTAAGGACGATTGTAAGTTATCTGGCGAGTTCAAAAAATGATTGTGCATGACTATATAAGCAATATAGTTGTTATCTTTCCAGCAGATAATCATTGCCTAGAAGCTGGGAAGACCTTAATTATGTTCGGCGGCATTAAAAACTGGGGTTGTCTGAATTCAGCCCTAAAATTCCTAGTAGTAGTAGTAGTAGTAGTAGTAGTAGTAGTAGTAGTAGTAGTAGCAGCAGCAGTAGTAGTAGTAGTAATAGTAGTAGTAGTAGCAGTAGCAGTAGCAGTAGCAGTAGCAGCCGCAGTAGTAGTAGTAGTAGTAGTTCTTTATTTGATGTGACACCACACTTAGCTACAAGCTACTTTCCAGGAAGCCCACAACAAAATATTTCATAAAAAATTGCAACCTACATTAGGAACTATGTACATTAGGAATTATGTACATTAAGTAAAATATTATTACAAAAAGGATATCGCAAATGTAAATATATATTTGTACCATGTGTAGTAAAACAGAGATAAAAAACTAAAAACTTAAAATTTTAGGCGACGGATATCGTGAAGAAACGTTCTTGTGCGAGCCTTTGCGTGTATAGCATCTGGTAGCGCGTTCCAAGTCTTAGCAGCAAAATAACGAAATGACTTAGGACCATGCTTGGTACTGTTAACCTTAGGTAAGAAAAGCATGTAGTTTCTCTTTCAACATTAATACATCATCCCGGTAAATGAGCAAGAAGAGCAGAAAAAACGAGAAAAGGAAGGTATTAACCAATCAGATCTAGGCCGGGTTACTATCCACAGGTGTTAGAAATTCGCATCCACTAAACTAGCCACATTGACGTGGAAACAGTTAATGACGCTTCTTGCAGGTAGTACCCTCACCAAAGGAGTGAAAGTTGACATCATGGACAATGTCACTCCCTATTCACAGTGGAACGAATTTCGTGTCCTGTTTGCTGATATGTACAAAGATCCAGCCCAAGTGATCATGAAAGATTTTCATCAGATTTATCCTGAGCTTATGGACGCAATAAATTTCCCGAAATTTTCCAAAGACTTTTTTGAGGTTAGTAGCTCTATTTTAGACTGATCCATTCTTGACTATTCCTATTCGAACCCAGATGAATGCTGAAAAACTTTGTATTTCCACAAGAAAAAAATAATTTTCGAGTTGTGTTCGCTTTCTTACGTTTAGTTCTTGCCCGATTTTGTTTTGTGTTGTTTATGTACATGACCGTTCGGCTTCTCGGCCTATTTGGTCTATTTGGCTACCCTAAAAATATATCTTAATAAAGAGTTTGCCATATATATTTAACAATTATTCCACGAGCGCGCGTTGGATATGAGATGATAGATAGCCAACGAGGTGCGTAGCGCCAAGTTGGCTATAATCATCTCATATCCAACAAGCGCGAGTGGAATAATTGTTTTATTAAAAACGTTAAATTAAATTATTAAATTTTATTAAATTTTTAGCTCCCTTTTAATTTTAAGCTGACACGTACGCTTACCATATTTGTAGATTATGGTATATTGGCTGATATACCATAATGGCTAAGCCAATAAAAAGTCTTGAATTGCATTATCCAATGATCTAGTTTTTAATAA